ATTTATACACATGCTTTTCACCCCAGAATTGTTGCATAGTAGCACATTTCAACAACAAACATCTTGGCAGTCTTATATGGGGAAATCATTACAGCCCATTCACCCCTGAGTGCATATGTGAAATTCCTGGTATGTCATGAGGAGACCAGGCCATGTAGGATTGGAGAATTAATAAATGACATAGGTAAAAAACCCTTTCACAGAAAATTCAGCCCAAATCCCCTAGAGCACTTGACATATTTTTTCAGTAAACAGAGATACAACAAAAGAAATAAAATTCACAAAAGGAATATCCAAGTAAAAATGGAGTAGAATTTACCTGAATGCATGTGTCAGTTTATTAATGTGGTTTTTTTTCCAGAAAGGAAGTAGGTTGCCTAGTAACCTCTTTGACAAGTCTCTGTCTGATCAGATCCTGTTTCCACTCTAGAGAGATTCCACATCTAAGTTGTTTGTAAAGGGTTAATCAATTATTAATAATGTCTGAATACATAATAAGCACAAGGGGCTATGCCACAGCTGGATGGTAAGATATGAGGTACTCTTTTTAATGATGAACCATGGATAAAACAACCTGTTGAGCCATTGGACTGCTCACACACTTAAATATCTATAAACGTTAACAAAACTTTGGATGGATTTTGTGAGTAAATCCTTGGTAGAAAGTACAATCATTTTCCTTTTATTTTATCAATCCATTACTTTTAAGCATTAAAATGGTATCATAGCCTAAAACAAGGTTGTAAAAACAATCAACAGAGTTGGATACTGAGTGTTTGCAGGAGGACCTAAACAAGCGTGCTGGTGTCCTGCTCCGGGAGAACAGACAGGGTCAGAAGTCTTCTTCTCAGTAAAAACAACATGCCAAAAGAATTCAGTAAACACAGATGAGCTTCATTTTTTCTACAAGGGTGGCCATTCCTCTTGACCCTATGAGCCATGTGCCCAAATCTTTGTGTGGCTGAGAGCCATGAGACACACAGCTCAGGGATCCTAAAGGAAAGGGACCTCCAGAGGCAGGAAACACTAAGTGCTCCCCAGGGATCTCTCATCACAGACAAAGACAGGGTGGTCTGCAGTGACTGCTCTGCTTAGTTCCCCAGTGACTCCCCCTCACTGGCACTTTCAGCTGCCTAGCCTATCACTGCCAGGGCTTGGCCTTGTATGGCAGGGTGAAGCTCCCACAGCATCTTGCCTGCATAGCCCTACCACGCTGGTTTGCCCTAGTTCAACCCAAGTAGGGGAGCCACATTTCCACTGCTTGCAAGCCTCAAGCCACTGCTAATCTACTAGAACAAAAAGGAAAAATAAATTGGAGGAAGGGAAGAGTGTGATGACTTTGATAAACATGGCTGTTATATCATGCTGTCTTTTCTCAGTTTTTCCCATTTATCTATATCTTACTGTGTATAGATAGGTGACCTCTTGGACAGAAATCCTGTTTTCACAATGTGATCATCTCAATTCCTGAACAAATGGATAAAAAACTAACACACATACTTGTATCCAAGTAAATCTAGCAGGGAACCACATTCACCTAACTGACCAATCTTCTGGTCTTGGCAAAACTATTATATTCCTTGGGAATTTTTTCTCAGATGTTATGAGGTATAATTCATCTTGTGGCTATTAAACTGGGTTTGTTCCCCTCTAAGTTCATGTTCAAACCACCAACGACTAGTTAATAATGGCATTATTAAGGTCTTAAAACAGCATGTTTTAGTGCACAGATGCATGTTTCTTTCTAAGCATGGGCAGAATCCTTCCATCCTGCCAGGCTTAGTTTCAGACATCTTAACCCCACAAAAACCTCATCACTCTTCAGTGGAACACCACAAAAACCCCTAACAAGCAGACAGGGAAACATTTGCTCCTCCTTTCCACTTACAGAACATCTGATCATTCAGGACCTGACATAAGTATTTCCTGGCTGACTTTGCTTTACACATGAACCATGTTTTGACTTTTTTTTCCCCTTCCCTTTTCCCCCCTTTTTTACAGGCATCATTGCAATTTGTCAGCAAGCAACTTGGGCCAATCTCACAAATAGCTTAGTTAACAGCTTATGAAATGAAATGATGTAAGGGACCACTCCAAACAGGGTCAATTTAAACAGGCTGCCAAGTCTGTAAACTCAGGGGATTTGGATTGGGCTGAGGAGAGGCACCGAGCGGTGTGGGCTTGCAAAGATTGCTGCCAGGTGGGCTACAGATGTTCAGCTTCAGTCCACTTGCATGGCATTCACCTAGGGAGATGCTAATTTGGTCCTATGCATGTAGAAAATTAGCATGCATATGCATACCCTGCAAAGGCCCCTCTCTGGCTCTGCTTTCTGAAGTACTAAGGTTTATAGGTAGAGTAAAATGGCTTCATAGGAAGCCGCAGCACTATTTGTGTCAGTCCTGAGTTTGAATTCATTCAGTCAGCTACCTCAGAAAAACAAAAACATAGCATCCCTTACTGTAGATGGAAGCTGTGTTTCATGGCACATGCAGCTGCAGTTACTGTCTTGCAGCTGTTAAATGAAGAAATACCATGTGAACACTTGGTCTGGTTTCAAAAGACCTAAAAACACTGGCCAAGAAAAATGGTACGTCACGGTGCTGCTTGGCCATTTGCCAAGACAAAGAAACTTGTAGATTTCTAGGGACAAGAGGCCATGTGAAAGGAATTTTCCTCCTTTCAAAGGCACATCAAAATGTACCAGAGGCTTTATTTATTAATTTATTTTGTGTGTGCTCTTGGCAAATGTTTGATTGATCACTAATGCAGTATCAGCATTAAACTCACAACACTTAAAAAACAACCCAGAAAACAAGGCAAAAGGGGGTATTTTAAATCTGTAGGTCCAAGGTGCAACATAGAAGTCAAAAGCAGAATTATTTCATGCAAAGATCAAGTAGATGGATAAGAGTCCCCAAAAAGCAATATAAGATAAAAGTTTATATGGAGGAAAGGATATTAATTCTTTTTGTTTGTTTGTTTGTTTGGGGTTTTTTTTAGTATTTTTTTAGGCTCAGACATAGCATGGTCATGTCCACAGGACGATATGCTGCGCTGTGGAGCAGTGATTCACAAGTTTTCCTGTCAGACCTACCTCGAATCCCCAAACAACATAGATGTAATGCTCTGCTAATAGCCAATATTAATTTGGAGATGACAGTGCTCTGCATAAGGCTTTCCTTACTACCTGAGCTAATGCATGTCTCCCAGGGAGCTGCAACTATAACCTCCTTTCACTACCTGCAAAAGAGAGACAATTCCAGTGCATCTCATTTGCATCAGGAATATTCACACATATATCAGGAACCTGTCTTTACAGTCAACTGAAAATTTCATTAGAATTTTAACACAACATAGTAAGCGTTCTCATTGCTTTTACTTGGCTGTTTCCCCAGAAAGATGGACAGAGATGTTTAAAAAGCCAGGCAGAAGGATGTAGACTCCCAAAAAGAGATCAGGTCCTTTAGGGACAATTATATTTTCTTCGTCCTAAGGCATCTTCTGCAGTTAGCTGTGCAAAATATCTGACTTGGGCCAGCTCCTGGGCTTGTTTATATACTGGAGGTTGAGTGCCAAACTTTCCTGACAGGAAATGAGTGAGACTGCAAAAGAAAGTATTTTAACAATACAAAAGAAACTCATAAGTTTTGGTAACCATGCTATTTTATTAGTTTGTTTGCTTAATGTTGATACTGTATTAAAGGTCAAAGGAACATTAGATGTTAGGGGAAATAAATATGCTGGTGAACAGATAAATGCTATGGAACCCCCAGTAATTAACAAGGTCCATATGTACAGTTTCTTCATAAGAGAACAAATTTCTTTTTTCCTCCAATATGAAAAGACAAATCCCTTTTTTTGCTAAATCTACATGCAGGGTTTATGAGCCAAACCTTACCTCCCTTTCTCAAGGGAAACTCTCTGAGCTCACAGGGAGTTTCCTCTGACTTTGGCCTATTAATTTGGCCTTCTTTACCTTACCATTGATAATCGCCTTCAGCTTAAGGTGCCATAAAATTCAGTGCTGGAGTTACCCCATACTAATCACACTTCTGTAAGCAGAGGACATGCTCGCAAGACCTTTTTTTGACTGGTTCTTGGAAGTAGTATTTCCATTTTGATTCAATTTTCTTGCTCACATTCCTCTGCATATACAAAGCTAATGGAGGAAGTTAAACTTCTTGTGTGTGTTAGTCTGAAATAGCAACTGAGAACTAGAGGAAGTGGTTGTACTATGGACTTAGTCCAAAGAACTAGGAAGTCGAGAGAAAGATTCTCGTGACATCACGAGCTTTAGGATTACAGTCCATTTGCAATAGAGAAATTGAGAAAGCCATTCGTGCTGCTCGTAGTAGACCAGCCAGATAGCCTTTGTCAAGAATGCCCCATAGATCTTTGGGAGAAGAAAGAGGTTAAAATCAGAGCCACCAGAACACACAGTTAACTGCGCTGAATCTCACATGAAATATGTTTAGGAATCACCATCATGAGATTACTATGGAAGCAAAAATGCTATTTGGAATTGAAGCCAAATGCTGATTAAAGGAAGCTGAATACCTCATGCACTGACCCCTCCCACAAACATATCCTGCATTTGCATTCCCTTTGTGCTTCAGGAATTCTCTGTGGCTGCATCATGATTCCATTCAAACTGTCCATCCCAGACGCTGAAGAATCAGAACCAGTTAATAGTCTCATTTGTTCCCCAAGATTCCCCAGAGCGCAAGTGGGATTCCAACCTTTAACTGCTGGCCCTCCAGAGCCCTCCTAACCACGGCTCTGAACTTGTGAAGATTGTTCAATATCTGAACTTATAAAAACAATCTGAAGAGTCAGAAGCAGTTAAAATTTTGTTAAAAAAACCCTCAGAGGTGTCATGTGCTGTGAAGAGCTTTAAAACGGTAAGACCATGGGTTTTAGATTACATTCTTTGGTTACCCAAGCAACAAGTCACAGACTCACCAGAAACATCATCAGGGCTTGTGCTGAGGCTTGCCCCTTCCCTGTGAGCAGTTGTATCAGTACACTGGGATGACTAGCGTCAGGGCCTGGGAGGGGAAATGAGGGGGTGAGCTACGACTCCAGTGCTGAGAACTTTCTTTGAAGGGCTGCCAGTCTATAGGATCTTTCACATAATGCTCGTTTAAAAAAAAAAAACAAAGGTAATAAGTCAGAGGGTACAAGGTATTTTATGCTTTGTGGTGTGCTGATCAAAAGATGTTATCATTCTGTTTCACATGTTTGCAGACAGTTAGCTGTTACTCCGGGTAAGTTACAGGCAGCATTTTTTTTCCCTTGAATGCTGAAATTTTACCTTCTTGTTGAAAGGTGGTCTCTGGGTGAGTGCACAAGGGAAAGGAGAAGAGGCTCTTCACCTTTCTGGCTCACCTTTCTGCCTTGTCCAGGATCCAGCCTCAGACTTTCCAATGGGAATACTGACACTGACAGCAATGCTGAGAAATAGAAAGAACAAAGACAAAAATGCCAGGTGCCTTCTTGGTCAGTATTTACAGCATCCACTTGAAAAGTTTTGCTGGAATATTCCAAGGGCTCAGGATGAGGTGCAGCTTTGAGTTCTCCAGAAAATAATAAGTATTTGTCAAGCATTTGTGCAATAGAGATTTTGGCTCCATTACCGGATTATGAGGGCAGTCCTTGAAATTCTGTGTCCTGATAGACACTTTGGCTTAATGTCACCATGAAAGATGCCAACCCTTTTCTATTAATCTGAAGACATCAGAAATTTTTAATTTCTGGGTGCTTTTTTCTAACATTTATGTTGTTCTGTATTTCCATGTTCCCTCTGGTACCTGAAATGAAGACTTTGTGAGAAGCAATTCTGGTAGTACAGCTGAGATGGCAAAGAACATATTGAAATCCCAATAAAGAGGCCAGCCACATCTTAAACTCAAATCTAATCTTGATGAATTTTCTAGTATTTCTTTGAAAGTTTCCACTTTGCATCTCAGTAAATACAGTAAATAATTCCTGTATTTTGTAAATGCAAAAAATCTGGACAAACTGAATCTTAAAACAAGAAAAAAAAAGGGGGGGGGGGGAGAGGCGAAGATATATTTGTAATGCAACATCAAACAATTGTTTTGTTGGCACACCTTCATAATGGTTTCTTTATGCAAATGTTATAGCCTTTGCACCAATTCCTGATTCTGTTGTTTCCAGTACATTTATTTCAATGAAAGCAGCTGTAAACCTTTTAAACAATTCTGAAGATTGGTCCTTATCCTCATGGTTTAGGATGTGCAGATATGCAGCCAGTTTGCATAAACTGCTAGTGGACAGTGTAAACGGAGCATCTTCCTCTTCAAGCTATGCCACTTTCAAACACTATGTAAATACATACTGTTTATGGTACACTTTCATGCTTCTTTTTATTTCCTACAGAGATTTTTTTTTTTTATGTTATTAGATAGATGAAGAACAAAATAAAAAAGAGCACTAAGTAAATTGCTTTGAATAAATAAGAACTGACCAGATCCTGTACCCAGACCTTGAAATAAAGAAAATCTAAATCTTTTTACATGTTTACATAAAAAAGTTTTCATTCTTCTACATTCTGGTTTAACCTAGTCCTGTGAGGATCAATCTGTCAGCATTCCAATCCAGTCACAAAGTAGGAATACTGCAACCTTTCAGGAGGCTCTATTGTGGCATGATCTCTAGCCTAGTTTCTACTCCATATGTTCTAAATTTTCAGACGTTTATTTGGACTTCCAAACCTCAAGATACTCAGAGGTAATCTAAGCTATGGAAAAAATTGGCTGCTGAATCTCACACTATGGCTAAAATCCCATGTCTAGGTTTGAGGCTTGCTTGTGATCAAACCAGAACAGTGATAATATCATACAAAATATTCTTCAACTTCTACCTCAGCAATTTCAGTACTATATATTTGTGTAATAGCAAAATTTACTTTGCTTTCTTGTCTTCTCTATGTCTTCAAAGCATGTGTGGGATTTATTATTATCGTTATTCTTCTTCTCCTCATCTTTGTTTACTTTGCTGAAAATGCGAAGTCAAGCAGGTGCAATAAGTTTTGGTTCTGACTTTGAAACTTATGAGATCTGCAAACACACTCACCTTTTTCAGAAGAGAATATTGTAATATTTGGCCATATGTTAAGAGGATTCTGTGACTTGCTGAACTTTAACAGAAATGTCATCTTCCCTAAACAAAGTATGTGTCAGGGCTGTTCTTTCAAATGCTGGAGATACCATCTCAAACACTTCATTTATGGTGTCAGACTGCTGAAAAGGATTTGCTTAAGTTTGCTAAGGCTATTGAGAATCATATCCTTAATGTTGTGTGGCTGGTGTTGTCATATTTGTCTTAGTAACCTTATCTTTTAGCAAAGAAGCTAGATGACAAAGATATTTTCTCTAAGAATCTTTAACCTCTTGTGTTGCATGTAAACTCGGTACAGAGAGCTTGCAATAAAGTAAGTTAAAAGATGTAGTGTCTCTTACCCTTTACACAGGCATTAGTCTAATATTGCTGAATTCTACAACTATGAATGTGATACTCCAAGAATAGCTGCAAAAAAAAAGATTGGAAAGATGTCAGGATGGAGGCTTTATAGCTCTTTTCCCCTGAAAAGTGAACACTGGAGATATCCCAGAGTCTCTTTGCATGATGTGGTTTAGCTCTATTAGCCAGCCCCTGGGAGTAGCATTCTAGTAGCACAGTCCCAATTCCACAGCCCACATAAAATGTCCTGAGCTGTGCTCAGAATTTAAGCTGAAGGAGTTTTAAAATGGTGTATTTGAGTGCATGATGGTGTTTTCCCTGAGTATTTTCAATTTTTACTGAAATCAGTATGTGTGAAGGCTGCTCAGATCTTTAATTATTTCCTTTTGAATTTATAGAGTTTGTATACCAAAAGCAGTTTTACATATATCTTCCTTTGAACTCGCATGGCAAAGATATTCACTAAACTATTTCATTTCTTTTTCTGATGAGAAAGAGACCTGCTGCACCTATCTGTACTTATGTTTTTGATAATTCTTTTCAAAAATCAAAGCTGTACTTAGATCTTGCACCTTTCATTCAGGAAGAATTCCAAATGAAATATGAGTTAATTTAGTCTGACCAAATAACATAAGATGGGATTTTCAGATTTTAATGGAAAGGTAACCCTGTCCTTTGAGGGAGATTTTTGTCACTTAGAACTAAAATAGAACTACAGTTTGCTGAGCACTTTTAAGCAGAAGCATCTCTATTCAAATCTTCACATGCTACAGAAGGATGCCAGTTTCATTAAAACTGACATTAAGGAAATGTAAAATATTTCAATAGCTTATTTTCAATACTGCTCTTCCTTCACACATTTGGACTGTGGATTATAGCATTATAGATATAAAACAAAAATCGGTTTTTATAATAGTGATTATGTGTAGCATTTTGAAGAAACCATAAGAATTGTCATGTTCTGTGGTACACCATGCCAAATCTAAAAGGCCATTTTTGAAATGTCATTCTGGAATGGTTTTTCCTTTTTGTGTCTACTTTGCCTGTAACCTTACAAAGCCCTACAATAGCCCTGGCCTGTCCATAACAGATTGAAGGTCCTCCAGGATGTTTCTACACAGCAGTTGCTGAGGTCCATGTAAGAATCATAGAATCATAGAATAGTTAGGGTTGGAAAGAACCTTAAGATCATCTAGTTCCAACCCCCCTGCCGTGGGCAGGGACACCTTACGCTAAATCATATCACCCAAGGCCTCGTCCAACCTGGCCTTGAACACTGCCAGGGATGGAGCATTCACAACCTCCCTGGGCAACCCATTCCAGTGCCTCACCACCCTAACAGGAAAGAATTCCCTTCTTATATCCTAAGACTTCCCCTGTTTAAGTTTTAACCCGTTACCCCTTGTCCTGTCACTACAGTCCCTAATGAAGAGTGCCTCTCCAGCATCCCCATAGGCCCCCTTCAGATACTGGAAGGCTGCTATGAGGTCTCCACACAGCCTTCTCTTCTCTAGGCTGAACAGCCCAAACTTTCTCAGCCTGTCTTCATACAGGAGGTGCTCCAGTCCCCTGATCATCCTCGTGGCCCTTCTCTGGACTTGTTCCAACAGTTCCATGTCCTTTTTATGTTGAGGACACCAGAACTGCACACAATACTCCAAGTGAGGTCTCACAAGAGCAGAGTAGAGGGGCAGGATCACCTCCTTCGACCTGCTGGTCATGCTCCTTTTGATGCAGCCCAGGATACGGTTGCCTTTCTGGGCTGCGAGCACACACTGAAGCCGGCTCATGTTCATTTTCTCATCGACCAACAGCCCCAAGTCCTTCTCCACAGGGCTGCTCTGAATCTCTTCTCTGCCCAACCTGTAGCTGTGCCTGGCATTGCTGAATGAATGAGCCAACATCTAGAAGATTCAGAGCCAGGTTATTTACTCAACACACTGCAACACTATCCCAACACAGCCAGTTTAAAGTCGTCTCAGATATCATAGCAGAGATTGCACTGTTGTCAGGCTAGGTAAAGTCCCAACTGAACATGCTTCTGAGTATCCTGCTCTTGATCTGCAAAGACGCCTTTCCACCCTAGCTAATTCTGTGATTCGGTAATATATCATTACTCCTCCTCTCTTTTCCCCTGTCTTTTTGAATATTTCAATACATCCTCTCATTTCACAAAGCAGATTAATCCAATATAACCATGTAATTCTGTCAGCTACCCTTCCCAGGGCAATTCCCCCTCCTCTCCATTCTTTGCTGCCTTTGGCTTGAGGCAATGAGCTCTGACAGACCTGGTTTTTAAATCATGCCTCCCTTGATGGTGGCACCCCCTCCAATGATGAGCGGAGCAAGACCCATTTCCCAGTCTGCAGTGGGACTCATGGCCAGGGGGAGTGGGGGGAACACCTGGAGCTGGCTGAGTGATGCTGACGTTCAGGCTGCCACTGCCCTTTCAGACAGTCCTTTTCCAGATAGTGTAGTGAGAAATAAACTGAGGCCTGAATGAATGCTCAATAGCAGAAGGGTGTAAGAAACCATCCCCCTCTCAGTGGTGAATCCCTTTATCTTTGTTCTGTGGTACTAGTAAGCAGGCTGGCAATTCCCTCAGTCCAGCAGCCTTACTTTGCTGCCCTTTTCTTGGATGCAAGCATTTCCTGTTAAAAGGATTCCATTTAATACCCTTCAAATTATCTGGCATGGTGCAGAGCAATTTATTTTCTAAGCCTTATGCTGTAGATTGAAATTTCTTTTCCTCATCTCAGTGTGTGGCAGCAGGGAGCACAGCCCCTCTCCCTGTGTTGTGCATGGGGGTTGCAGCATCCACCACTGCACTAAGCCAGTGCGACCATGGGTTCTGCCCTGATGCAAGTTGTATTCACCAGCAGGTGAACCTGCTCCTGGATCCTTCAGTGGGCAGGAGGCAAAAAAACCCAAGCAGACTTTATGCGCTTAAGAAGCTGATTGAAGGTGCTCAATTCTTGAAAGGAAACAAGGCTCCGATTTGCTTAACACCTTCTGAGGGAGAAAAAAGGTTAGACCTGCTCTTCTCACCTGTGGTTTGTACCCAGAAAGATACCCAAGTCACAATCCCAGATGCGGGGTGAGTAATTAGGGGTCCTGGCACCTACCCTAGGTGCTTGCCCAGACCAGATGAAGAGAGAGAAAAGTCACACAAGGAGGTAGTGGTGTTGTATGCTTCACCCAGACTGTTTTATAAGCAAAAAAAAAAATATCAGAGCTAGAGGAAAAGAATCCCCAAAGTTCCTGATTTTCTGAAAGCAAAGCTGCCTCAGAGTCATCTCAAATTAGAAAGAGGATACAAAAAGGCCGACTCATTTGTTTGATATAGATTGTGCACAAAATGCACAACTCAACATTTTCTTTCATGGCTAAATACTTGCCAGCACACGAAGGAAAGGAAGTTTGAAAGTATATGCAGGAACTCTCTTTTCTCCATCACTTGACCATTTGCTTCACTACCACTATTTATCTTTATGCGAATAACCAAAAGTCCTAGCCACAGTTATATATACACACCATAGAATAGACATAATCAAACAGACATTAAGAATAATCCAGAAGAATGCATTCCTACATTATTTAGCAGCATTTAGAAGAGGATTTGGTATGGATACGAATAACCAGAGTGGCTTATAATACCTAAAATAAATTTTCCCGGATAGAAAACTTCATGCTTCACGGTTTAGTTCAATCTCTAATTTCTAGGGATTAGAGTTAATCTTTCATAAGGGTAGATTATGCTACTGCTTCTTTCCCTGGAGTACCTTTTACTGTTTTAGAAGATCCACTCTTAGTCACTGCCAGAGGGAAGGTATTGCATTTGATGCATTTGATTCCATAAGGCAGTTCCCACTTCTTGATGATTTATATTTAAAATAGGCAAGAAAGGTTAAGAATGGGAGAAACAAAGTAACACCTTTCTTACTTCAGCAATGGAAGACCAAGACTTGGACACTTCTGTCGTCTTTTTAAAGAATTTATGACAAAGTCAGACCTCTTCATTGTCTTATCCACAAGAACAACCTTATTCTTGACCAGTATTTTAATTTTGATAGAACAGCACCCTTGGTTTTAGTTTTGTTCCAGAATGAAAACCACAAAAAAAGATGCCTTATCTTTAGACTCCCAGAATTCAACAGTTTGGATTTCAACTGGGATGCGGTGAAGTTGGCTCATTTGTTACTGATATCACTTTCAGAACATGAATAACCATCTGAACACTGATTTAAAAACACAAAAGGGATAGAATCTGAGATTCATGTAATGGGTACAAGAGATAGGGACTGCTGAGGAATAAAAATATGTTTGTGACTAATTCACTAGAGAAACTCCTCATGAAAGATGTAGTTGATCATGATTTCCCTGTAGGGTTGTGAGAATGAATATCTGTCTGGGTTATATCTACCCTGCAAATTAAAAGAACTCAAGAGCATTGTTAGCTTCACCCTTGCTTTTAAGAATGTGTAAATTTGGGGGGTCTGAATAGCATAACTTGATTTGATCCTAGACCTTTCTCACTGTTTTTTATCTTCAGGAAGAATCTGAATATAATCCACGTTGTCTGGGACAAGCATATCTGCCCACAGATTCTTCACAGCAGGGAAATAAATTCCACATTACCCATCTTATTAAAATGGGCTCACTATCACACTAAGTGATTTTTTTCTTTTTCAAATTAAAGAAACAATTTTATTTTTTTTCCACTAGCTGTCATGTCATTTAAAATGACCTCTCTTGTCTCAGCTTCCTAAAACTGTAAAATGTAGTTAACAATCAGTCTCATATAATGACATGATTGTGGGATCCAAATTGTACCAAGTACCCAGAATTTGTTCCATTTTGAGGCCCGAGAATAAAGATGAGCTCAGAAGAAAGAAAGAACACGTATTTCTGTGTCTCTTTCTTAATCTGAAGTGTTTAAAGGTGAAGTTTGAAGTTGCCACCATATTCTTGTGACAACTGAGCTATGAAATGAATGTCTCATAGATAGAGGGATAAATAGTTCCAGATGGTGAATTTTAGTTTACAATAAAGGTTATAAATTTGCATTTGAAAACAGTAAAAAAATAAATAAATATTGCTACCTGGTTTGTTCTTCCAAGCTCTTTGGATTCCACAGCTCTCTTCACTTAGATCTGCCTGATTCAAGCATGAGAAATCAGCTAGTCAACCTTACTGTCATGCAAAACCAGATGGAGTTTGATAGAAGGAAAACCTCTAAGTAGAGAGGTTTCCAGTCCCTCTAATGCATGAGAAAGTATGATAACTGACATCCAATGCATGAGAAAGGATGATCAGTGAACATCTACCTTGTAGTCTGCATGTTTGTCAGTGAAACAAAGGCAAGGAAGTACATTTCCCCTCCGTAAATATGCACTGCGCCAGTCTTGAGGTTTCAGAAACAAATTAAATTCCTTTCCTTCTGGTCTTACTGTTGTACAGAGTGGCTGCAGGCTGGTATGCAGCTGGCATTTACACTGCCTTACGCTCTCAGGGATTCCTGAAGGGTCTGTCTGGTTTGGTTCTTCAGCTGATGTTTTGCCAGGGTTATGGGCTCACTGGTATTTTCCAGATTAGAGGATATCTATTCACAAATAATGGAATATCTGTAAAGTGACAGATGCATAAGTGCAACAACTTTTAGCTGTGTAGATCCTGAGCTGAGGGTCAAGCACATGGGTCTGCTACAAGCTTATCGCTTTTCTCTGTTTTAAACCTCACACCAGAATGACTTGAAATTTTCAGGGGCAAAATAAACAAATCAGACTGACAGAATGGGAGAAAAGCAGCTTAAGAGGAGCCTGTCAGCACAACCTGCTGCCTTTTCTAACCTGGCAGCCATTCCCTCTGGGTTCCTGCCGTTCTCCTATGCATTTCCCTTCCAAACCTCATTTCCCTATGGAGCTCCCTCAGCCCATCCGATTTTGAACATCTGCTGGCACTGAACTCCTGCAACTCTCAATCTGTTTCCCCTTGGCTTCCTTCTTCCTTCCAGTTAATCTTTCTTATTTTTGTCTTGGTGAGACTTCCCTTCCTTCTTCTCTTTTCCTGCTGCTATCACCATTTTCATCTCTCTGCCTTCCAGGTGACACCAGGATGACTCACTGGTGAGGAGACCTGGGTAACAGAGGTCCCCCCACCCCAAGGCAGCCGGCAACTTGCCGGCAACAATGACAAACATACACAGATGTATTTTATCCTTGAATTTTTTTAGGAATCTTTTGTAGTCACCTTTTTCCATTCCTGTATGTCTGCAGCTGATAAATTATTTCTGTTCACTTTAATCCATTTTTTATTGTTCTTCCAGTTCTTTTTATTCTTCTGATGTTGCTGAAAAAAATATTTCCAGGTGATCAGCGTATATTCAGAGGGATGCTCTGAACAGGATGGGTGCCTCTTTTAGGAGTTAAGGAATTAAAAAACAAGGAAATAGTGAGTTGAAATTAGTTAATTTTCTTAGCTAAAAAAACACCTATTAATGAATGTTGTTGAGTAAATTGTCATGTATTGGTTTTGACATATTCCCCACTTGAGTTTTCATGCTGTCTCGTTTCCATGCTAAGTGCATGAGTGGTGTCCTAATGCACCATGGATCTGCAGCCGCATTTCCTCTGTAAACAAGGGTTCTGTAGTCAGCTCTTGAACCTGTACACCTCTAAATTTTGAACCTGTTGACTGATTTTGTCAGAGAGGTAGGAGTCCGAAAGATAAACAAGATCTTACAAGCTTCAATGAAACAAGTTGCCACATAAAGAAAGATCTTCTAAGTAACTTGACGAGGAAAGGAACATTACGTATGCACATGCGGTCACAATTCAGAGAACCCAAGCATAGAAGAGACCATATGAAAATATATCTAAGATAGAAATGAGTTTTAATCAAACCTCCCTAAAAACAGAGTCATAGAATCATAAAATTGTTTAGGTTGAAAGAGACATCTAAGATCATTGAGTACAACTGTCAACCTATCAGTGCCAAATCCACCACTAAACCATCTACCTGAGTGCCACATCTACACATCTTTTAAATACCTCCAGGGATAGTGACTCAACCACTTCCTGGGCCAGCCTGTTCCAATGCTTGACAACCACTTCAGTGAAGAAATTTTTCCTAACTCAGCAAATGGAGGCCATTTCCCCTTGTCTTATCACTTGCTATTTGGGAGAAGAGATGGCCACCAAACTTGCTACAACCTCCTTTCACGTAGTTGTATAGAGCAATAAAATCTCCCTCAAGCCTCCTTTTCTCCAGGCTAAACAAGCCCAGTTCACTCCACCACTTCTCACAAGACCTGTGCTCTGGAGCTTTCACCATCTTCATTGTCCTTCTTTGGACCCGCTCCAGCACCTCAATGCCTTTCTTGTTGTAAGGTGCCCAAAACTGAACATAGTATTTGAGGTGTGGCCTCACCAGTGCTGAGTACAGGGGGAAAATCACCTCCTTAATCCTGCTGGTCACACTATTTCAGATACAGGCCAGGATGCAATTGGCCTTCTTGGTCACCTGGACACAAGCTGGCTCATGTTCAGCAGACTCTTGACCAAGACCCCAAGCAGCCAGGAGGTTTTTCTGACAGGCAGCTTTCCAGCCACCCTTCCCCAGGCCGGTAACATTGCATGAGGTTGTGACCCAAGTGCAGGACCTAGCACTGAGCCTTGTCGGACCTCATACAATTGCCACCATCCCATCTATCCAGCCTGTCCAGATCCCTTGGTAGAGCCTTCCTACCCTCAACCAGATCAACACTCCCACCCAACTTAATGTCATCTACAAACTTACTGAGGATGCACTCTAACCCCTCATCCAGATTGTTGATAAAGATATTAAAAAAAAACACAAAGTGGGTCACCTTGTCACAGAAGGAGATGTGTTAGTAAAGCAGGATTTGCCTTTCACAAACTCATGCTGACTGGGCCTGATCACTTGGCTGTCCTGGACGTGCCACATGATGGCACTCAAGATGACCTGCTCCATAACCTTACCCAGCACCAAGGTCAAACTGACAGACCTCTAGTTCTCTGGATCCTCCTTCTGACCCTTCTTGTGGATGGGCATCACATTTGTTCACTTCCGGTCAACCTGGACCTCCCTGGTTAGGCAGGACTGCTGACAGTGATGTAAAGTGTCACAGTGAGCACTTCCACCAGCTCTCTCAGTACCCTTGAGTGGATCTCATACAGTCCCATA